GCAGACATCTTCCAGCAACACGAACCTCACTACCTTTGACCACAATGAACATGTTAAAGCTGTACCTTGACCTTTTTCGATGGCATGAAAGATTGAAATGTCATTGGAAAGTCCACTTAACGCTTCTAGCGGTGATAATTCAGTGAAGTCGCTTTTGTCATGCGTGGCGGTATGCGCCGTATGGGTGCGAGCGTAGCTCTTTTAGGGAAAGAATTGCTCCAATCAACGGGACGGAAACGACCAGCACGTGTGACAAGTAATGGCGCATCTGAGACAACCCAAAATAACACGAAAAATCATGTTTCAATAATTTGCTTATCATAGGCATAGGCCGTTGCTTTGGTGCCAAGTCTCTACATTTCACCGGTAGCAAATAACATCACTTATCATCACAATGACCGAAAAAATAACGATACGTGTCCTCGTTATTTTAGAGGCGCTTGCGGAAACAAGAGGCGATTGCGGAAAATTCGCCTTCGTTATGAGCAACAAATGCATTGAGCTCCGTGGTCGAAGGCTCAAAACACGCTGGAAGTCAATCAATACTGAAATCTTGAAACAGCACGGACGAACATTACCGTAGTCTTAGCAAGTGCTGTGTTATCGTATTTGTTTTGACTTGGACAATTACATGCCAATCGTGAGGCCTTTTCAGTGTCAGTGCTGTAAACTGCAGCTGGAATTGGACCATTGTGTGATGAACCTTCGTGAGAACAAGACATGTACCAGTGAGAGGCTGATAACACAGAAATAATGAAGGGATACAATTCTCTTTGAATGAGTGGGCGTATTCAGTTCATAAAATGTCAGTGCTCAGTTATATCCGCTTTTATTCATTTTTTCTGGATAAAAACTAGAAGAATGTGCAACTGACACAATAAAATGTTGTGAAAGTTACGCTCCAGGCGTCAAGCTTCAAGATATAATTCACATTAATGCCAGCTCATACGCATAAATGCACCCCTACTTGGACTTGACTACATGAAGTGCTGCTTCACACCACAGCCAAGTATTGTGGGCTTTAGCCCAGTTATGAGCCGGTACAGAATCGAATACTGGCCACCACTGGCATTAAAAAGTTATCCAAAGAAACTTTTGCGTTTCCAAAATGCAAAGCGTTTCCCTAAATTTCTTAATAAGCTTCGTATGTTACATGCCTGTTTTCTTTAACTCAATAAATGTTGTATTGCCTCGCCGTTGGGCAAATTTCCATTATCCTAAGAATTTTGCAGATTGATGTCACGAGTCTAGTATAGCGCCACGATTGGAAATGATTTAGGAGGTTATTGTTTTAATGAAAGTTGTACGTTTGCACTTAAGTGTACCTTGGTTTCGCCTTATATGCATAGATGCCTATATAACCATACTTATCTGACATCTTCCTCGCTATCAACTCTAGACAGCCTGTGACCCTTCCACGTCATGCAATAATGGCTAAAGCTGGCAGTGAATGATCGTCAGTGAACCTATATGTTGTAAATCAGAGCTAAAGAGGTGAAGGCTGGTACTGGAAACTTATGGAACAATGAATGTATGCTGTGCATTTGTCAACTTTCAAATAAGATTACGCTGCAGCCGTGCTCTCATTCAATATAAGAATCAGGGCCTGTTCGACATAAAGAGCGCATCTCGTTATTCCGACGACCATTATTGGATGCAGTCCCACCAACTCATACGCCTTGCACCTCATTCAGATCTTGGCTACAAACGGCATCAAACAATCATCAATGAAATTGTATGCATGATGCAGAAATCAGCGGGAATGGCAGAGCCTTTGTGATGTACATATTGGTGATAATAACATATTTGGTCCTCAATTCCTGCCTTTTTTGTCACCCATGCAGGTAAAGAACTATGAATGCTCAACTCACATTCAGATGCAGCAGAAGTGATGCTAGAGGTTTGAAACATTGACACACGATAATTATATTTCGGCAAAAACAGATGAGAACATCAGTCATTATACAAGAAAACATCACATGAGGTGTTACTATCACCACATTGAGATTTGTGTACTTATTTTCATCACAGGTCGCATGGCATGCAAATTTTCAGGAAACATGAGGCTCCAGCACTGATAGTTGTGGATGGTGCAAAATGTTGCAATATCGTGCACATGATGAGCCTGCGTGAGCATTGCCACAGAGACGTTTTGGAAATAAAGCTAAGAAGGTTTGTTTCTAAACCTCTGGAAATAGGTAAGCAGCCTACTGCCAACGGTAGAATAACTGGCCACGCTGTCATTGACAACCAATCAAGATTGTCTTAATTGCCTTGGAAGATAGGCAGTTGCATGGTAACTGCCACAGTTTGGCATTCTTACGTAATTCATTTTGTCTGAAAACCTTGGAAAGAATCTGGAAGAGAACTGGAATGAATGCAATTCCAATTAATTCTAAATGCTCATGTGGCTGTCAAGTGTCCCTGATTCATTTTCTAAAAAGTGTACTCAGTTGGCATTGCAATCAATTATTAATCAGTATGATCAAGAATTGAGGGCAAAAAGGCAAAAAAAGGCAAAAATGTTATCCTCAAAATGGCCTTCATCAGCGTCACAAAAAGTGCTGACGCACAAAACGACGTCGCTTGACGTAAACTGGGGGTCTGCCGGGCATGAGCAGTTTTTTCATGCGTTGCTGTGACAGCGGCCAGACAGGTAAGCCAAGGCCATATAGAAATAAACAAATGTAATGCATTGGTTCACATGTGGCATGGCGCGTTGCAAAATTAGGTTGAGTTACCAATATTTCTACAAGTAATAGTGAGCATGCATGCCAACTATGCTTCACGAACCAAGTGGAACAAACTGAGTTCTGCAGTTAGTTCCTTGCCAGTGACCAGTAATGGCTATCTACCTAACAAGTAACTTGGAAATGATGTTGAAATTCCTAGAAGGCTAACACTTAGACAGTGCAAACACAGCTTTCACATATATGCTAGGTCAAGCATGTTTTGAAGAACGGCGAAATGCGGCAAGAGCTTCGAGAAGTGGGTATACTTGACTGGCCAATAGCATATAGCTCGTAAATATATAGAAAGAGATTCAACACTCTAACACGACCCCCTAAAGCAAAAACAATCTAGGAGGGGCGCATTCAGCCGGGATAAAGTTATAAAAAAATAGACATACCTCGGATATCATCTACGTAGTTTTTTCATTCAAGTTCGGTGCGTTTTGAGATTATTCACTAGTTTCTTGCGGGCGCGCCATTCATAGTAAACGGCCATAGCTACGCATGGCGAAGGCAAGGTTCTCTGTCTTGATCAAGCGCTTAAAATTATCCAAAATTTGCCATCGGCCTGGAAAATTATCTGCGATAATCATCCGTGTTCGTAGTGCCAAATGACATTCCGGAAAATCAAACACTCTGGATAATTGATTAGTTGCATTAGCTCCATGATCAGCTGCCAGCCGAGCGTCGCGGGCATTTTATACTCGGTGTGAGCAAATGCGTTCCGGATGGAATAATTGTTCAAACTATTTCCCTCATCTGGTGTGTTAGATTAAACAAACAAATACACTAGACAAGGACGATACTCGGAAGAGATATTATATCCGTGATAGTGATGCCTTTTCTCAATCTTGCCTCAACTTTGTAAACAAATGCGTGTTTGCACAATGGCCGCAGTCAGGGTGTTCCAAACTTGCTGTCAGTGATAACGAGCTCCCTTATTGGAAGACCATTTGCAGACACCAACGATACGCTCGAGATAGAGGCAGAGAATAAGTGGTGAATAATGTTTTGGGGTCACCCGAAAACTTTGTCTGCCAGCAACAACTTGGAACACTTGAAATGTTTGGTCAATGGAAGTGCATTTACAGGGACGAAAGACACCAATCGATTGTAAATGGAAGGTCTCTGCAAGCCTACGTGCACAATACAAACTCCCAGTTCGACCAGGCACACTCCTTTCAAACGTATGACAAGAGTGGGAGATCTCCCCAGCCCACGCACGTCACGTGAAAGTTCAGCGTTAACCCGATACTGGTGCATGTAAAGCAGTGACGTTAAAAGAGGCTTGGCCCAACCATTGCCATGATCGATCCTCACTCTGATCCGGCACGTACGAGCTATTGTCACACAAACGACGAGGTTTTCAACGTAACGTATCTGAGTGGTTGGCGGGTCCACATGCACGTGAGGCGCTAGGTAGCTCGCCTTCGGCGGACAAATCCGAGGCTGATTCCAAACCAAAGGACAGCAGATGGTGTTTGGGAGGGCTCGATGGTGCTGTTATTTCAACGAAACCTTTTCAGCGGAAATTCAGCACCACATGTGTTAAAAGAGACCAGGTATCATGAAGGTGATTTTGTGAGTGCAGTAGGCTATTTTGGAAGCAATCAATTTCAGCCTGTTTCCACCGAAATGTTCACGTTTAAATGTGAGTCTAACAGCTTCTTAGACAAATGATGTTCTGTACGGCGCTCTTGAACTGAAAAATAAACAACTAGTTCCAGTAAATGGTACCCAACCGTTGCCTTCCCTACAATGCCGCATTTGTCACAGACGATATCAATGCAACGGATACTTGCTACGTCACTCACCGGCAGGACAAGAAACATCGCTCAGCGAACGGCACCGTTAGGCAACGCGTGTGTACCTGCCGCCCCGGGACGTCGACGGCGCGGCGCGGCTTGAGGGGCGCGCCAGAACAGCGCCGTTGACAGCCGATACGGCCATCGCACCAAGACCGGTCGCAGCAACCATTACACCGCGCGCCGCAAACGTTGCCAGATAAATCGCTTGCCGGCTGTCGGTGACAAATTGGCCATTAAGCCCTGCGTTAAACACACAAGCCGCCTGCAAACATGCCGGCGCCTCCTAATCCGCCAGCATTTGTCGGAGCGACGGGCGCGCTGATTGGCCGCACTCGAGGCAAGCTCCGCCCCCGGCCGGCTCCCGGATGACAAAGCGGCCGCTGAGAGGGCCGAGGGTCGCGGGGCCGGCGGCCGGCGGCGCGGCCGGAGGGCACAGTAGCACGGACACGGCGGGCTGGGGCGCGGGGCTGGCGCGGAGGAGCGTCCCACACGGAGCGACATGCTGGCCGTCACGGAGAGCGAGGCGCTGCCGGCGCTACCGTCGCCGTTCTCGATGGCCAGTATCCTGGCGCAGCGGTCGGGCTGCTCGGGCGCCGCGCAGCCACTGAACCTGGCGGCCGGGGAGACGGAGCGTGAGCGCCAGGAGCGCCGGCGTTCGCCGGACCGCCGCAGTCCCGGCCGAACGCCGGCCGACGAGGAGCCCATCGACGTCGACACTGAGGACGCCGAGATAGGTGAGTGGGCGCGGGCGGCCCTGCGATCCAACAGCAGTCCACTGCCTACGAGCGGGACGTTTAGACGGACCGACTGCACGGAAGAGCGAGCTGTACGTGCGCACAGAGTGCTCCGATGTGATGAGGACAAGGTCTCATTTCAGCTGTTTAGATAGACCCGGGACTGGGCAGTAGATCGAGTGATTCACGCGCAATAATCCAGTATGGGGGGTACAAAGTTCACAATTCACCATCCTTCCTTGAGTCAAGTTAGCTAAGAGCGTAATCCCAAACAATCCCTCCTCTGAATGCTCGAAAGATAAGACACGCACTGTGTCTTCCGTAAAAAATCCGCTTCTGAGTTCTGTGAGCGGAGGTGCGGAAAAGTTATGTTTGCACCCCAGATGTGTCAGCTCCACAGCCAGTACACGCCTACATAGCTGGCGCTTTCATCTTTTCGATTGCGTGGCTCCTGGCATCAGGGCTTGGCTGAGTGCCGTGTTTAATTCAGACAGCTAGCGGATAGAAGTAAACCTGATCCCCAAAGGCGTATCGCCTTGCGCTTTTTCCCGCGCTTGTATTGCTTTGCTAACGCGGTTTGGCTTGGCACCCCGATCGGGCCTACGAAGGCCAATCACAATAATTGTTGCCCCGATGGTGCCCTGTTTATGAGGAGCGGGAGCAAATGTTTTCAGGCTTTCATTTCCTTGGGGTATAAATTGTTTTTGTCGCAAACGAGCTCTTTTCGTTACTTTCCAAACACGTTTGACTAAATGTTAAGCGACCTTTTACTCCAGATCATACCATACATATTCGGCGCATTATGGACCGCTGCGGTAATCAGACATAACATAGGGGCACAGTATAGCTTGCGAACATCACGTAAGTGTGTGACCCAGTTGGGACCAACCTCGCGCTTGTTGCGTAAATGATGCCTTGTTTTGATCGAACGGGATGAAATCTTTACAGGCTCGTACTTTCAGGGAGTAAAATTAGCGCTTACTCTTTATCAGTCCTCGGGCTCGTTCAAGTGACTTCTTATTCACATTTCACTCTTACTCGCGCGATAAATTCCTTGCGTATGATTGATTACTGCAGCGACCAGACACCATTTTGGAGTACGAACGTTTGAAAAGTGTCGTGATGAAGGAGAAGGAAGGGGCGGGAACCACCCCCGTCTCACATTATTCCATTCCATGAATAGGCTTATATTAGTAGCAGTATATGGTGCTAAGTGATAAATACGAACCTAAGGGGAGGAAGGGAGGGACATAACCCCGCTCTCTTGGCTACACCCATGGAGGTTACGACGCTGAGCATTCACTGGAGTGGTGGTAGGGGGGTGGGGGGACAGGTCACACGACCCGTGAGGGCCAGTATTTGCCGAGATGGGGAGCGGCTCCGTCCAAAACAACCACTGCTGGAAAAAAGACAACGAATGATCCGAAAAGTGACAAAGAATGACCATTCATCACTACTTTTATACCCACTCATCCCGTACGCCGTTTACCTCGTGCTTAGGACCCCTCATCTCGGAGCGCATGACGCCATACTGTCGTACCGTAACAACCGAAATACCAGGCACATGGCACAATACGACCACTCAGAGCAGAGAGTGGGAATGCGCTGTAAGGCGTTCGAACGATACCAACGCTAAATCACCTTATCTCGGCCCAGTTCATTGGATTGCATCTGCACTTGAACACATTCATTGTGTGCATCGCCACACGAACACTCAGAGGCCGTCACCGGACGCCCGCACGGCGAGGTGCTTGGCTGGGCGGGACCTGGCTGCAGCTCGCGGTGTTGACCAACAGGCCACAGTGACTGCCTGACACGACGGCCGCCGACGTCGGGCTGCCAGCGCCCTGCTCAGCAGTTTACCGCAGACGGAGGCGCGCCGTCGGCGGCAGTCTCCGGTCACCTGAGCGGGCAGCGGCCGGCGCTAAGTGGCCGCCGCGCTCGGCCGGGTCGCCGGGTACCCGGCCGCTGGTCGGGCGCGTGCTGAGCCAGCGGCGCGGTCACACGGGAGGAGCGCTGGCGCTGGGTACGGCGCCACTGTCGGCGGGCCCGGCCTTCGGCTGCAGCCAACGCGCGCCGATCGCCGTGTGCCACAGCGGTGGAGGGGCGCACCACTGCCGATGTATGAACAGTGGAGGGGCGCACCACTGCCGATGTATGGACGATGGCGGGGCATAGCGCTGACGATGTGTGGACGATTCACTTGGCTAAAGTTAATTGCCTTGCACTGCAGGGCATCATGAGGGATTTATAAGGTTTGTCGCAATCATACAGACTGCTAGGTAGAGCGGGACTGGTTATTTTTTTTTTGGAACGAGTGGAAGACGTACAGGGACGAGGGAGGCTAGCGCTGGGTAGCGACTCGGCGTCCTGTCGCGCACACAAAATGTGAGTCACAATGAACCGCAAACGGATCACAAAAGACCACTTTGCATCCGGTGCTTGCTGAACATCTGCTGAGGCGTCAAACCCCAAGCCATCTGTCAGCGCTCCCTGACGTACATTTTTCATGGGTACCCTGTCCCAGGATACCTCTTTTGTCCGTTCTGGACCAATGATAAGCCACATCGCCATTTTCCCCGCCCTAAAAACATGATTAGGGAGCTAATACGCCTGCCTTTTCAGTCTTATCGGGAATGGCCACTCCATACCCCGTTGCTCTCCCTTTTTCTCGCTGTTTCGGTACTTACTAAGAACGTGGGTCCGGGAGGCAGCAGCTGCCAACAAGTTGTCATGCGTTCGGCACCCGGGAAGAGAATGCTGCATCACATCCTGCAACTGTGCACTTGCAACATTTAGCTGAAGTCAGATATCTGCAACTCACCTTCATTTGCGAGAGATGCACTGAAATGAAAAAATACGCTCGAAAAACCTGATGCCAAAGGTCGACCAAATTGCATCCCTGTACAATGTCGTTTTAGAGGGTGGTGAACAAAATTCGATGGATGTAAAACAGAAAATGGCCAAATCTCGTTATAAAACATATTTTGGAAGCAGGCAAGGTTAGCAGTTCGGTGCGCCACAGAATAAAATTACTGGATGTTTAAGGGCAGGCATTTTTCTGCTTCCGCAAACAAAAAATCAATATCTTTCGCATGGTTTGTTGACAGACGGCCATTCGACCCACCCACAGCATATAAATATTAATCATACCCACTAACCTACAAGATTAGAATGTGAGTTTTGAGGGGCAGAATTCCTATGCCAAACACTTCCGTATTAGTTGCACTAAGTCTGTCCCAAAGCTACGTCCAGCAGGATAATTTAACGTGATGAGGTGGTGAAACTGGAATGGCTTAATTTGTCAGTGTTAACCCACACCATGAACAGAAAACCGGCTTACTAGAGATTTAATCAGGTAAAAATGGCAGTAAAAATAATTGTCTTCCTTCACATCATTTTCTTCATCTCCTATGAATTGTTTACTCTTGGGTGCGTATCAAACATGTTTGGGCGGCTGGCGAATTCATCCAATATATGTGCGAAATATGTGTAAGTTTGCAGTTGGAAAATTCTGCAGAAAAATTGGTTAACCTTCTAGCCCATAGATGTTATCTTACAAGCTTATCAAACATGAAGGGAAAATGAGTGTGTACCACACCTGTATGAAACCAGGAAGAACAAAAGTAGGTAAATAAGCTCAAAGAGTTAAGGTTTTCGTAAGAAATATTTAATCAACTCATTGGACCACAAATCTGTGAAAATGGTGGTTAAATAGTAATATTTAGCTTTTGAGTTTTATTTTGAAAATCTTTCTTGAATTTTTCACTCCCACATTTTGGGAGTGGTGGTCCTTCTTTTCCCAAACTAAAGGCATTGCAGCTACCCGTAGATTGCCAAAATTCGGATCAAGGGGTCCTTGATTCAGAAAACCCAACAATGTGTTAAAAGGTGTCCTATCTTTGTGGCATGTTTCAAGAACATACTCTAGTGAAACCTCAGGACTAGTTATGTTAAATAATAGCACTGGGTGGTGCCACTGCACCACCACCAAGACATAACAAGAATATGGACTTTGATGGCTTTCGGGTCCAAATTACGCTGTCAACGTTTTGTACAAGCACTACATTTCTTCCCTGCAGTCGCGACCACCGTCGTCATGACAACAACCGCGCGCGCCTCTACTGGTGTGAATGAAGGGATGTTTCTGGTTTGCCCATCGTGCAAGGGCCTGTTACAGAGAAGCTGATTGGTTCAAGTTTGAACTAGTGCGTCACATGGATCATGTCATGCTCCCATTCCCAAAGCCAGAGTGCACCCCGAAAAGGGCCACCGTGTAAACGACAAAGGGTTAGAAATCAAGGCCATCGTATAACGTTTCGTGAAATCCGGAGATAAAAGCGTCATGTTCGCATGTCTTTTTGAATAACCAGAGTGTTTTAAGCTTTCGTAGCATGTGTTACACGAACATTTTGGTACACATCACATCACATCACATCCTTTACAAGTGTTTCTGTGATGTGTTGCACACACCACAGAAACACCCGTTGAAAATGTCAGGCAAGTGGAGGGCATTACCTTCATGGTGATGAGCAGGGAGTAAAATGAGATTTCTCCCGAAGGGTCGGCTACTTCAAATCACAAATCTGAGCTATGCAGTAGGACGTCGAGAAAACTGGCATTACCTACTGAACAAATCGAATGCGTCTGATCTAACAAGGAGCGAAAAATACAATAAAGGTGGAATACTCCACAAAAAGGACCCCAAAAAGACACAAAGAAGCCTCTTCACAGCAAACAGTAAAGGGCCTCCCTAAAAAGGGAGGCCCCTTTGCTGGCTCGGGGGTGCCCGTTACGAACTAGAAGGCCTTATTCTGGGTTAGAAGGCACTATCAATGTTCAGAAGGCCCTTTTCTGGAACAAGGGGCCCCTTTCCTGCATCAGATGGCCGCGTTTCCAGATTGGGATGGCCTGCTTTGGGATAGCAAGGCCTCTTGGCCAGATTTGGAGGCCCCTTCGCGAGTTGCAAGCATCCCTTTCTGGATAAAAGAGCCTTCCTATGCACCAGCAGGCCCCTGTCTGGAAAAGTAGGCCCTGTTTAAGGAAAGCAAGACCCTTGGTTGAACAATCAAAACGCCCCGTTCTGGATTTTCTGCTTGTCAACATATATTTACTTGGATATGATGCACGTACATGCATGTGCCAATTCGCTCGCTGGCCGCAGGCCGGCCGATGACCCCTGACCCTCCGTGACCCTCAGCGACCTTGTTCGGCAGGTGGAACACCCGGTTCGCTGACTGGGGAGGTAGCCGACGACTGCAGGGAGGAGGAGGCTGGGGACCGCCCGCGCAAGAAGCGCTCGCGAGCGGCCTTCTCCCACGCCCAGGTGTACGAGCTGGAGCGGCGCTTCTCGCACCAAAAGTACCTGTCCGGCCCGGAGCGGGCTGACCTGGCGCAGGCGCTGAAGCTCACCGAAACTCAGGTCAGTGTGGTTAGAAATGGATGTCATTCGATGGACGAAATGGGGTCACGATTTGCTCAGGTACGGGTCGGTGGGGTCGTGGTCTAGGTGTGGGTGGAATGGAATGACCACATCACAGGTTGCAGGCTGTAGGTCTCAGGACGGGACAAAAGTCGTTTGGGTTAGGGATTTTACTGGACGGCTCACTCAGACGCAGGCACAGGCGACTGGAGTAGGAATGGGACGAGACTGGGTCACGGCTAACTCGAGCAATAGGTTTGGGGTTGGGAGGGAGAGAGTCACAGCTTGGTTAGGTGCAGGTCAGTGGGCCAGTCTGGAAACAAACAGACAGTGTGTTTACTAAGTTACGTACAAATTAGTAACTGTATCAGGCTGGATCGAGAGCACATGTTTGCTTGTGTACGAGCTGGTGGCGTCGTGTGCTAGAGTGCAAGTGGGAGTTAATCGTGACGTAAATGCAACCAAAGCATCAGGAATCACCCAGCGCGCAGGCAATCGACCACAAACGGGTCTCAAACTGAAATTTAGGCTACCTGGTCAGCGTGTACGTGATAACGAATAGGCGTCCTGAATGTGCTGATTTCTAGCCGGTGAGCCTGAGTAAATGCTGTATTATCTCCGAAATATCTCGGCTAGAAATACAACCATTCATCATGCACACATTCTAGATGTATCTGTGCCATAAGTGAAGGGCTGGTATTCAAGATCTTCATTAGTTAGGTAGCAGAGTATCTGGCATGCCATAAAAAGGTTTGGAAATCGATTCCCTGATGTTATATCTACATTTTCTGCGCCACCTTTTCGCATGAGCGGCATCATACATCTGTACTTGGCTGTGCGATGTGGTCTGGGGACCGGAGTGCGGAGATAGCGCAATGCCCGTTTAAAAAGGCTTGTTGTTTGCATTTTTACAAGAACGTTGTTTTTACAAAGTATTTTGTCTATACAGGTAAAACTGCATATCAGAACAAGTAAAAAAGTAACAAGTGTATAAAGTGCAATAAAAAGTAAAAGTAAAGAAGTAAGTGCAGTATCTATGCCTTTAGTGCATGGGAAAAAGGATAGTAAAAGCGTTTAGAATACATATGCACTTAGCGCGTGACAAAAATCACTGGGTTACGTTCCCAGCATGACATTTTCCTAAAAGGAACTGAGATGAACTTTCACATATGGCAGAACAAAATGTAAGCGAAACATATTCTTTTGGAACTATGAAAGAGATCTATGAGGCCTGGTACGTCCAAAATCACAATTTTCATTGAATTATTTTCTCAGTAACCATCATAGATATACAATACCACTAGAACGATAGCAGCGATTTGGAGCCACTTGCGAGCATCAAAAATTGACAGGGGCATCAGCTGCAAAATTGTGTAGACACGGTGGTCAACCACGCAAAGCTGTTTAGCATCCGTGTCTTTAGAAATACACGGTAACCGCCAACCATTTCACCCCCATATTATGAAGTCAGTCTGCATTTCGAGAGCACAACTGAAATAGCTAGGGTTTTAGGACTTTGACAGCGATCATAAAGTATTGTACCTACCGATGACAGGAATTTGTCACATTCTTATGGAATGGTGTTGTCTGCTTTGAACCTCAATCCAGTTCTTCTCTGCAAGTTAAATCATCTCGGGCACATGTCTTGCTTCAGCAATAAGTTGTCTTTGATTAAAGGGAACATCGTCATTTCTGTGATTTGTGTAAACAACCTCACTTTGATCAGCCTTCCAAAAATTCACGAATGGAACAGCATTATTTGTTAACACAACATTATAATGTCAATGATTATTTCCCTTGAGTCATTCCTCAATTCCCTGTACTCAAGGGTGAGTCCGTGGGACAACGAGACGGCGCCCGCCCGTCCCTCGACGGTCGCCAAAATCGGGCATAGAATCACACATTTTTTAAGGTGAAGATTTGCGCAAATTTTGCGACAAGAAGTTTGTTTTAGAAGACGCCTTGAGGTGAAGGGAGGAAAACTCACTTATTTTTTAAAAAATCAGAACGCCTTTTTATGCTTCGCCCTCACCCCACCCCAACCCACAAGCCGGCATTACCTACCACCAGATGGCGTTCTGGATCTGCCGTTGTATGCACTGTCATGATAGGGATGTAAAGCCGCCGGAACCGGCATGCTTGAATGGAATGCGTTGGCACTGTACTGCTTTGTACTGAGTTAAATGCAAGATGGCCGCCGCCATGCCCACCTGTCCACCGACACAAACGTAGTTCCAAAAGGTAATGGTCGTTGGTCCTGAAGGTGATCGAATATGCAGTCACTGAGCGCTTCCCGGGGCGCACCTGCAAAGGGTGCAAGCTAAGCTGAAGTGGAGGTTCCCTGGACTGTAGATAACACGTTCGCGACACTGACCGGCTGACCGGCACACAAAAACATGAGGTTCCGGGACAGCCGTATCTAGTGCCACCGAAACCATTTGCATAGCCCATTGTCGTTATTAATGGGATCTGGCTCGCCGACTTGGTGACTGTGCCAGAAACTTAGGACCAGTGCCATGGAAACCCTGCTATTGCGAGATCAATGCACTCCGATATCAAACGTGGAGGGTCGAGGATTGCGGCTGATGAAACTTTGCAGAGCGGGCTCGGTAGCGTGGGAGGGCCGGTACTCGGTGGCGTGGGAGGGCCGGTACTCGGTAGCGTGAGCAGGCCGGTACTTGGTAGCGTGAGCGGGCCGGTAGTCGGTAGCGTGGGAGGGCCGGTACTCGGTAGCGTGAGCGGGCCGGCACTCGGTAGCGTGAACGGACCGGCACTTGGTAGCGTGAGCGGGCCGGTACTCGGTAGCGTGAGCGGGCCGGTAGTCGGCAGCGTGGGAGGGCCGGTACTCGGTGGCGTGAGCGGGCTCATGCTCGGTAGCGTGAGCGGTCCGGCACTCGGTAGCGTGAGCGGGCCGGTACTCGGTAGCGTGAGCGGGCCGGTACTCGGTAGCGTGGGAGGGTCGGTACTCGGTTGCGTGGGAGAGCCGGTACTCGGTAGCGTGGGAGGGCCGGTACTCGGTAGCGTGAGCGCGCCGGTGCGTCCGGCGACAAGCCTACGTGTATCTTACATGAAATTCTGCTGTCATTGAAATGCATTTTGTCAGTCGAAGAAGTGCTATCAACGAAAGAAGCACAAGGCTTCTCCAAGTTCTCCTCAGTCATATGGTAGTTTTGGTTTTGGTAGGCGTCCGCTCTACGTGCTGTGACATTCCTGCACAATGTCTGGCTGTAACATGCACCCGGGTTGCCAGTTTGTGAACTCACTTAGGTTATAGTTTGAGGTTCCCAGGTCGTGAACTTTGGGTCAAATAAGATCAAACAAGGTCAGGCTCCAGGATGGTTTTCAAAGTGCCCCCAGAACCTAGATACCGGTTCTAAGCAAAAGATCACATGCTCATTAAAGGTCAATGACCTTGGTTGACCTTTTGCGACACTCCGTTGTTGCCTCAGATTGAACGATTCCCTGGATATTGACTTCGCTGAATACATGGCCTGACTTTGACCTGCGGCAGGTTAGCGACTTGACAAGGGTGCATCTAATTTTTTGTTATAGTCTACGATTTGCTATTCATTGTTTACAGCTATGCAAATTTGGAGCGGCTACGCCGCGCTGTTCGGAAACCATCCCGGAAAAAATCTTCGGGGGATGAAATTAACTCGCCTAACCCAACCGCGTGTTAGCATGAGCTCCAAGTAGGTGAAGGTTACATGTAACGTTTATAATTATGACGGTTCTTCGGCTGTAGAATTGTGACCGGAGGAAGCGCTGCAAAGAAGCAATTTTTCCGTTGTTCGATGTTTGATCAGGCTGGCAGGCTGCTATCTTGGGTTCATAACTGTCTGATTGTTCCTCGGAAAATAAAACGTCAGAGAGCTGCTAGTAGACCTCCTTCAAACCGCGAGATTTCTGCGTGACGAAGATGGTCCAGGTATGAAATTAGTATGTCAGCGTAGCATGGATTCCGCACAATATGGACTCGATGTCACGCACGATAACGTAAGTTCCTAGTTTCACGAAAGAGTTGGGATGAGTTGTTAGTATTGCGAATTGAATATCGTACTTGTATCACAGAAGTTTGGACTATTGTCCACGTCTGGTGTGCCAATATTTACACAACGTTTTAGCCAGTTAAATCTCCGGACATCGTTAGGTGTTATTGAGTCCTCAGAAGGGTTCGATGATGATTGGCTTTCAGCCATATATGCATCACAACCCGAAGTCTGTCACTGGAGCTACTGGAATTCGAACCAGGGTCTTCTAATTTTGAGTCCCATGCTCTACCGACGGAGATAATCAGGAAGAATAGCTCTGAGATAACCGGGATAAATGTGCCGCCTCCTTCATCTTTCTGCATTACAGGTCGGTGTCATTCATCTCCTGGATATTTGGGGATCATTCCGCAGAGTTAGTTGCTTTATTGTGTTGATGCTTTCGCTTGGCTTACTGATAAAGTTGTTGGCCAACGCCGTGTGTGCCGCCTCCTTGGTCTTTTTTGCTTTCGAGAGTTAACGGACCGAAACGATGTGAACATGCTAACATATCAGACCACAAGGTAGTTCGAACAGTTATTCCATCCATGATATAATTTCTTGCTGGGTGGTTTTGAAGGTGCTAGGAGGGTAATATATCCAACTGAAGTATGTAACGTATATATTTACACACACAACTCAATTCAGCGACTTCAAGGTAGTTAAGTGAGGATAAATTACATCGCGGTACGCGTATACATACATATATATAGATATATATATATATATATATATATATATATATATTTATATATATATGTATATATATGCGTGTATATGTATATATGCATATATATATATATATATGTATATATACAAGGTACGATTATTCGAGGGCGAATTTAAGCATTCAGTCTCGACGGTTTTGCAGCATTCTGGCGCAATGCGTGTTCCAAACGTTGGTAGTATGGGTTCCATCCTGTCCTTGCACGTTTAGATACTTACAAGAACTGCCTTTATCAGATAAGTTCT